TACTACTACTACTACTACTACTACTACTACTACTACTACTACTACTACTACTACTACTACTACTACTACTACTACTACTACTACTACTACTTCATTTAAGTTCTGGCGTGCTTCTCTTATTTTGACTGTCCACAACTCCACCGACAGAATCGTTAGGTTAGGCAATCGTTTTGTCGTAGTGAGGTACAACAAGGCGAACGATCTTTGGGGTTTTTGATGATTTGTTCTTCCTCCTCCTTGTTGTTGTTGTTGTTGTTGTTGTTGTTGTTGTTGTTGTTGTTGTTGTTGTTGTTGTTGTTGTTGTTGTTGTTTTGGGTGGGGGTGGGGGTCTTTCTTTTTTTTGAGGGGGTTGGGGGAGGGGAGTGTTGTTGCAACGTAGATATGACTTTGATTCCGATATGATGATGATTTATTTTATTTTCGAAAATCTGGCTCCCTCGTTTTCGTTCATTTTTCCTCTGGGGTATAAGTAAAAAGTATGTCACCGAGCCCGATTTTTTTCCAACGGGCAGGCAAGGATGGGGTGGGTATGGGGTGGGTTGTGGCAACCAGCCTCTAATTTGATTTCAGTTATGTAATTTTGTGAACTGGGGGTGGGGGAGGGGGGCATATATCATAATTATATACATCTAAACTCATTTCTACTTCTACAACCAATATTTATTTCCTACTTTGTCCAAATGTAATCTCTAAGACAGGAGGGCACTGGACAGAGAGGAAATATTTCTGTATAGAAAGGAGCATGAATTAGCTATTTTTTATTTAGAATTCAGACAACGAAATCTACCCAAGGCCAAAGCATCTGCATAATGAAATAATCACTGCTTCCCTTCCATTCTCAAGACCTGGGAGCATCATCTCAGTCAAATTCATCCATAGACGTAGAGAGAGAGAGAGAGAGCGAGAGAGAGAGAGAGGGAGAGAGAGAGAGAGAGAGAAAGAGACAGAGAGACAGAGAGACGTCCAGGCCTTAATATTTTTAACTTCTTGTAGCTGTGATTGCGTGACCTTTTTCCTCGACTTTTAGCTGACTTATTTCAGTTAATCAGGTCATGACATGATTATGTCATCAGCTCCTGGCCACGAAAGACTAGTAGGTAAAGACAGCTAATGGTGAAAGCTTAATTGATAATAGTGCGTGTATTGTCATCTTCTGCTTCTTATCTTTCTGTTTGTGTATTAACATTTAAAAATAATTATTGTTAAGATATTATCTTGAGACCATTTTATGCATACCGTAGTCTATATGTAAAGACCTACGTGTAATTATACACCCAAAGTAGGAATAAATATTAATGGAGAAAATTGCTTTCTCGATTATTTTGTCTGGTGTCCATGAATTAGGGGTTAGTTTTCATTCACAAATCAGGGAAGTCGTCTCGAGTAAGAGAGGTTTTGTAAGAGGGGTTTACAATAAATGAAATGTGTACTACATGTGGTCGCTTTCAAGCACAAGGGGGCTATGCCGAAAAATGCTGTTTTGAGAACATCGAAGGTAAAGTTTTTGCCCCTTGGTCGGTTTCTTTAAAGACAAGGAGAGTTTTCTCTATAACCAAACAAATAATATATTAAACACCCGTGAAACCAAACCTCTCCTATGGGTAGGGCAATGCCTACTTTTTGTGTATATCAAGATTTCTGGAAACCCCCGTAATCTGGGATAGCCCGTTTGTCCTTAAACTTAAACGCGACCTTGTATGAGTGCGCGTTTCGCATAGATCTAGAGTCTAGATAATTTGCGATATTAATATGGGACCCACTCTGTCTAGTTCTTTGATTACCCTGTTAAACAAGCCAACCTTCGCCCCTCTCTCTACCTATTGTCTTTATCGACTGTGCCTAAGTGGCTTGCTAACATCTGGTTTACATGTGCACAGGTTGCCCGCTTTATCTTACTACTCATATATCCAACAGTACAGTACACGTCCTGTGTTCTCACGGGTTAATCTTTAAATCAATCAGAAATCGAGTCGTTATCTCATTTCTATCAGACGGATGGAATAATCTATTACCCCTCCCAGCGCGCTTATGCAGGTATGCACGCATACTCGCGCGCGCACACACACACATTGACACACACACACACACACACACACACACACACACACACACTACACACGCACACTCTCTCTCCCCCTCTCTCTCTCTCAATCTCTCTCCCTCTCTCTCTTCCTCTCTCTCTCTCTCTCTTATGTTTCTCTCCCTCTCTCCC